AGATTAAAACTCTATCATGTAAAGAAAAAGCAAAATGTAAAAATGTTGTTAACATGAAAGTAGAAAACTGTTCTGTGGGAGGACAAATTTGAAATTCTTTTCGGGAAACTTGAATGATACGTCCTCCACACTACAGAAGAGGGGGACCATTTGGCTTGTTATCAGCCCTTAGTTCAAAATCCTGTATGCCTGAAGGTATGGGAGCCCAATAATGCCTAGGGAAACTGGCACTTCGCTCATCTGGAAAGACAACATTAATGCTGAAAGGTGTATATATAGGTTTTAGAGCAACATGTGCTCCCATCCAGGAGACATCTTTTTAAGGGTAGTCATTAAAAAGATGTCTCCTGGACAGCTTCTTGTAGAAGAGTCCGGGTGCTGAACTGGCCTGCCTCTTCACCAGACCTTTCACCAGCTGAAAACGTCTGGCACATCATGAGAAACAAAATACGCCAAAGAAGACCTTAATGAGGACTGTTGCACACCTAGAAACTTATCAAATAAGAATGATAGAAGAACATTCCTCTCCCAAAAATTGAGCAACAAATCTACTAAGTTGGTAAAAGAGGATTAAATGATGCTACCATTAAATTCCAAATTTCTCAAACTTTTCACAGTTTAAACATCTAATTTATTTTGTGTTTTTCTGTGTTCTTTGAATAAAATATGAGTTTACGTGAGCATGCATGTCTGTTTTCTAGCTAAAAGGATTTCACTCAGGAGCATGTTATGCTTTTTAGTTGGATGAAAATCTGCGTCCTTTGCGCTTATCTTATTACTTTGTTAAAATGTCTTTCTTATCCAAGTCAGCTGTAAAACTTTTTTCACCTCTTTCCTCCCTTCAAAGGTTTTCAAGGGAGAGGAGGGTGTGTTTCAAATCTCCGGTCTCCAGAGCAACACAGACTACCGTTTCCGTGTGGGTGCCTGCCGCCGTTGCCAGGATACGTGCCAGGAGCTGTGTGGACCACTGAGCCCTTCCTCTTTGTTCACGCTGCGTCGCCAGGAGGCAGCATCATCAGGAGAGCAGTGTGCCGTGGAAGCAGGCAAAGGAGCGGGCCTGATCTCGAGCGACGAGCGCTTTGCGGCGCTGATTGTGTGTGTGTTTGCAGGCTTCTCCATCCTCATGGCCTGCTTGCTACAGTACTTCTTCATGAAGTGAGGGAATTTTTAATTATAGGATAGAAAGAGAAAGCAAAATCGCAGAAAAAAAAACTTTAAAAAACATCTATGAAAGAACCGAATGAAATCAAAACAAACACTTGAGATGTACATTCAACGCTATCTATGATTTTTTTTTGGTTATTTTTTGATTCAGGCTTTTCCCACCTTGTTCCTGTTGTCTTTTGCCTTCACTCACTTTGGACTTTTTCCCCTCTCCGTCTCTGTTGTCTTCATATCATTGTCCGTCTCATTTGTTAAGGATTTCTGTCGAGGGAAGTCTTGTCTGAGCTGTACCTCGTTTGGGAAAGAAAGCTGATAATCAAGCCTTAAAATAGCTGTGAGCAAAACAGTTGCTCTCCAGACTGACTTGCATGTTTTTATTTTGTATCCTTTTAAAACATATTCACTTAGAGAACATATATTTCTTGATGGTCATTGCCTTGCTTTTTTGGTTTATTTTTCAGTGTTTAATTTGCATTTTTTTTTGCTGTAGTCTTTATTCATTCAGCCATATTCCAATGTAGGCCTTCAAAGCTTTAGTTGTTCTTACTTACCCAGTTTGTTACAACTCTACAGGCTGTCAGACATTTCACATAATCTGCACCCGTTCTCACATGCAGACTGACAAATACCCAGTGCACAGACAAAGGTGCAGACTTACATGCATAACCATGCACACATATCCAATTACACTCATGCAATGACAATGAGAAAGACATTTCATCCTAAGAAGTAAATCACATATCTGCTTAGCTTTTTACATTCACTCATTCACTCTTTCAGCTACCAAAGTGATGCAATCCATGTATGGTTTAAGATGCTGCTATCCTTTGATTTTATTATATCTACAAAAGAATGGAAAACCAGTAATCTAATATATGAACTCTATATATAGATATGTATATTATAGCAAATACTATGATGCTATAAATTGATGTAATATAAGTGATGGCAATGTAAGGTCTGAAGTACAGTGTAAAAGGGGGAATAGTGGACTCTAGGTGCTCATAGACAGCAGCTCTGAGGTCAGCTCAGCAGCTTGCACATTTAGTTGAAGGAGCCCTTAAACACTTGTCTTGGTTCAGAATATGAGCCCTTGAAGGTATTGGTTTGTGAGGCTTAAACTGGCTTTGGGGAGCCAGGCTGTGATTGTGATCGGCTGCAGCAGACAAGGAAAGGGCTGGGCTGAGCATATTTTGGGCCATTGGTCAGTTCTTCTTTAATCTACCATCTCAAATACCATTGCTCCAGCCTATTTATCTGTAGCTTTACTAGCGATATGTACGTAGCTCCACAGACCCAGAGGTGCTAACAGTCTGCCAGCTAACCGGCCTTCTCAGAGCTGTATGGGTGTTAACTAGGAAAGCCATTAGGAGTTAGCTTGTGCTTTAGCCCCCACTAAGAATTAGCCAGCCAGAGCAATGCTAAAGCTGTTTCTCCTTCCGGCTAGCCTGTCAATTGATGCATTTAAAGTCTATTCTCCTCTTTTCTCATTTCCCACCCGTGATTATCTGTAATTACCCTTTCTGCTCTGGCCACTTTTCTCTTGCTTTCGATCCATCCCATCTGTCTGCCCATGCAACACTCTCACTTTCCCTCTCTTCTCTCTCTCTCTATTAAAAGGTGCTTTATTGATATGTAATCAGAGCAGTAGCAAGTCTGTGGTCTCTCCTCAGACGGACATGTTCTCTGAGGACTTGAACTAATGTTCACTAACCAAACAAGCCTTTGACAGGACACAACTCATCAGAACAGGGCATTCTAACACACATAACAGCCCCTCACCTCCCACCCAAAGTCCCCAAAACCCTTTTTAACCCCAACCCGAACCAACAAAGCCAAGGTACAACCCAATACATGCCCCGATAATCCAAAGAAATCACCCTGACCTGCGTAATTAATGTGTGACATGTCCACGTTTGTCGGATGGGGTGCAGGGAGTAAAAGGGATTGGATGGGAGACGGAGGTAATGATTAGCTCTGATTGGCAGCCTGTAATGTACCTCAGGGATAAGGCCTCACAGAGGGGAGATCTAATCTTGTCATCCCTATGCTGTCATCATGATAATTTATCATTTTAGCCTCTTTTCTTCTTCTTTTCTCTCTTCCTTCCCTTTGTTCTCTCATTTTGGATGCTGTATCTTGTGCTCTGTCTGTGCTGTGCCTTGCTCCTGTATGTGTCAGTAAGTAAAGTGGTTTACTAGCTTAAAAAAACCTTTGCCAAAGTTGGTGGGAAAGTAAAGGTAGAGTTCTTTTCTAGGTTTTATTTATACTATATATTTGCATACAGTACTTTACATGCCAATTACAGTGCAATCTTCATTTATTTATTGTTAAAAGATTAAGAGACAAGTGTAGTTATATACTAATTTTTTCTTGTAGCATGTTTTTTTTTTCTTTTGTTTTAATGGATGTATGTTAGATTGTATGATTAAGGCCAGCATTCCTTATCTCAGTAACCCTTTAAGTATTTTTCTTACAGCTGTTGGGAACCTGTAGCTCATCAGTCCATGAATTGCAGTTATCATTGCCGTTTCAAACATTTAACCAAATTGCCTATGTATTTTTGTTTTATTTTATTTTATTTTTTACATTTCCTGTTTTGGCTGTGCACAGGCGAGCAGTTCTTGAAACGCTTAGAGAAACATGTAGCAAGCCAGGTCTTATGGTCAATTCAAGTCATCTGTTTTGGGATAAATGTTGCTGCCTTTGGCTTTTGTTCTGATTAGTGTTATAATGAAGCTTCTGATATCTATTTTTACTGTTTTAATGCCAAAGTGCAAACTTTTTATGTCCACTAGTTGTTGCGTTTTGAATCGTCTAAAGGGTTCTGTGATGTTCTTCTGCAGCGACACAGCATTACGACTATTATCATTATTCTTTCTAAAGGAAAAAAAAAACATTAACTTGATCTGTGATATTTCTTCTTTTCATATTATCTTTTATTGTTTTGTTTTGTAAAGCAAAATGTGCCATTATGAAATGTGTAGCCCCTTTCGGTGGAGTTTTTTTTTCCGTTTTTTAATTTTTACACAACCTGATTTCACACTGAAAGGTATAGAAAGCAAAAACAATCATACAATGGTTTCCGGCAGATGATGAAAATAATAATATTGATAAATCCTTTTTCAGGCTTGTGCTGGTATAACAGTAGTGAGCTTTTTTGTGTCCGTACATTGCTAAGAGATGATATACAGAGATATCTATAGAGCTATAGAGGAAGATGGTAAATTCATTATGACTAACAGAGTTGAAGCACTTTTTAATGCCAAGCATTAGGCTTGATGAGGTAAATATGAGCGATAGGAAACGCGATCCTTTGCTCTATTCCAAACTCTACTGCCAACACTGTCTGTTACTTTTATTGGCATTATTCTGTTATTGGCATCACTGTGACATTGGCATTACTGGGGCGCAGTTCTGCGCTTTGCAGAATGCACAGTACAGCCACAAAGAAAGGAAAGTTTATAGGGAGTATGGTGCCTTTGTCTGATGTGTTCATTTTGTGTCTGCCTGTTGCATTGTAATTGACAGGTGACTTGTGAGGTGTCCTTTCCTTAAACTCCTGATGTTATGTTGCCCAACACTACCCATTTTTAAGCCTTAATTCCCCAGTGGAAGAGCAGAGGTTTGCTTTGTGTATGGTCATTGTCAGGCCAGTTATGCTAGTGTTAAATAGTCCAAGGTTAGCACAGTGTTAACAAAAAGGCATTGTGTTTGTGGGCAGGGTACTCCCTTGATGTGCATTGTTGGGTTTTTTTTTGCGTTTTCCCCCCCCAAATACAGGTGATTTTATAGAACCCCAGCCTCCCTACTCACCACCCTGCAGGTCCTGTACATTTGGCGGGTATGTCAAGAGTGAGAGACAATGTTTTGCCCAGCAACCCCACGTCTGTGCCTTCTGATCAGTTTTTTTTTTTTTTTTTAATGTTTTGTACATGTAGAGATTTTGACTGAGAGATTGGCGATTTGACAAACATGCAGAGACTCACAGGTATTTAACTATTTTTTAAGTAAGACAAAAACAGAAACATATTTTTACCTCACAATTAAAAAAATAAACATTCCAACGTTGTCATGGTCTACGAATTGAGGAAAAAAAAGAAATTCATGCATTTCTTCTTGTATTGTAAATGTTAGACAATTTCATATGCATTATATAAAAGAAACTGCCATATCAATTTTAATGTATAGATTTTGCAAATACTACCCTATGTATGTAAGACGTAACTGTATCGGTAGCGTATATATAATATATTTATGCCCAATAAATGTTTTAATTTTTTTCTGTCTTTAATTGCACTGTTTATTGAATGTCAACATTACGCTTCAACACAATGATGCTCTGCAGTTTGTTGGTTTGTTCTTGTTTTGGATAGGACTTCCCAAACCAGCTGAATACATCAATATATGGTGGAGAAACAAGTATAAACACACTTCTGACATTCTCTGTGGCAGTATTGATTTGTATTTTTCAGATTTAATAAGAGGGTCATTATTGTCATTTCATCTGCATCATCTTTGTGTACTGTTGTAAACATAGAGGACTGATAATCAATATTTATAATATTGGGGTTTAAATTAGAATTACTCAGCTGGAGAGCTCATCTTAAGAGCACCGTAATTCATTTGAAATTTCACCGCAAATCATTAATATAATAGTTTTTGCCTTTAATTCGTCACTTAGGGTTCAAGGATTTGAGGTGAGTGTAAATGTGTGTCTGTGAAGGTTTGTCATGTTGAGATTTACTCTCTGGTGGCCTTGATACTGTTTAACCAGAAAGCTGTGACAAGACTAAATCACAGACTTTATGCCCTGCTGGCCCTGAAGGCAGCCGGACAGAAACTGCAGCACTGCAAGCTCAATATTCCTCAATCACAGGCAATCCAAGGCCATCAGAGGAACATTAGTCTTTTTGTCTTAAGAGGTAGAAACTGACCATAGATTACATTTATGAAAGAAAATCAAACATTTATTTTCCTAGTCAAACTACAAATCCTTTTTTTTAAGTGCACTGTAGTAGCTTTTGTTGAACAATACTGTTTTATAGGTTAATATGGTATAAGTCAAGTGACAGGAAGTGGTAGGATTTCACTGTCGGGTGTTCCAGTTTTGACATTTTTGATGCAGGAACCTTTTTTCAAAGATTCCCGAGAAACAAAACCAAAAATGTCACTTTGTGGCTTTCAAATGTTTGGGTCAAAATTGATAGCTTAATAATTAACAGTCCAGACTGCTAATACACTGATAGGGTTATGTACTATTTCATTTCATATTCATTTCATGTTCAAAAGTCTATACTGAACTATTTAGACTTAAATTTTTAAGCAATTGTTTTTGTATAAACAAAAAACAGTGCAGGCTGGGGTTTTTTGTACAGACTGATGTTTATAATGATGCCTCTAATGTTTTCACTTGACTATCGAATTAAATGTAAAATTTAGCACAGACACAGGGTGCTTGTCCCAACCAGGATGAAGGAGATTGACAATAACTTTAGGCGCCACTAGTGTGGACACAGATGCCTAATCTTATTTGAACGAATGCTTCTTGGAGGATTCTTTTTGTCATCATCAGGAGACTGATGAAAAAATATAGCTGCGTTTGTCCTGGTCTGAACCATCTGCACTATCCCATTCGCAGATGACTTCATTTTTGGTCCACCCCTGTGAGTGTACTTGTAAACAGTCAGCGTGTTGGTATACCAGCAAACATTAGCTTGTCTGAACTGGTATCAAAATAATAATAAAAAAAGGTGCTGCATTTTTAAAAATACTTATTTAATTCCACTCTCATCCTAATTGTGTAATGTTCATTTATCCACACTCACAACCTTCATTTAAACAAGCTCTTATGATTTCTGACTCACTGTTTGAGCCTCTTCTCTTTCACCTTGTGTTTTATTGTCCATTTCCACTGATGTATTTCATGTGGACTTTCGTGTTTCAGATCTCTTCTTCTCTCCACCTTTCATCCACCCACTTCTCCTGTGAGTTACCAACTCAACTTTGAGCTTTAATTCCCTGTGAATCCTTCATTACCTTTCATAGTCATTCTAATTTTCAATCTGCTGAACATTTTTGCACTCAAAGGCTTTTGCTGCCCTCCCCTGTAAGTGTTTTGATCAAGTACCTGAGGTGAATTTAGTGATGAATGAGTGCTCTTTTGAGGTCTGCTTCATATTGGCAGCACCTGCTGTCTTATAAGCTATCTAATGTGATAGAATGGAGCCTGGTGGCACCAAGAAAATCCTGTCAGCTTAGATGGGAGAGGCACATTGCAGTGTCCCTGTGGCCACTGTTAAACCTCTTTGAGGCAACATTATATAGTGGGGTACTGCTGGGCCACATGGAGAAACGACTGCATACCCTATTGTTATCTTTTGTTATTTTTTAATGTGACTGAGAAGGTGTTTACTGGTGTTTGTTGGTTTAATAACCCCAATTGCAGTTTGCATCTCATATCTGCTGAGGACAACTTTCTGACTGTCGAGTCGGTTACACAAAGAATATGAATACTGTGTACAAAAGAGGAGGAAACGTTTTGTTTCTTTTACAAGACATTATCATAGACATACACATTAACTAAGTGAAGATAGTCACATAGATTTAAAAAAAAAAAAAGCAATAAATTTTGACTGTTAATAAGTATGGATTGATAAAAGCATGTCATGTTATCAGTATATGGTCATAAACATTCATTTAACAGATACATTCTTCAAAGTCATGAGGCCATGTTTTAAATCAAGGAAGCTGCTGTGGTGATTTGGACTGCGTAAACCACCTGAGTGTACTGCATTACAAAGCATCTATATACAAATTATAGCAAAGATCTTTTCGACAAGGCTCTTTACAAATCACTTTACAAAATGTACCACTTTTACATGTCCACCTGTTGCGTTATCTTACACAAGCTCAAAGGAAAATCTATTTTAAAACTTTCTTATACATTGTTGTAGCACTTCATCAGACTGGAGAACATTTAAAATCACTTTACATGCCATGATCTGCTGTTTAATCACCCATGAAGACTTTTCATCTTCCAGGCTTTAGTAAGTTGTTAAATGAGAAAAAGAAGACACATATTATACAGTTTACATCGTGTGAGAACTCACTTCTCTCATTTGTCAGTGGAAAACCATGTCTGCTAAAGATAACTGTGAAGCCTTGGGGTAGCTTACAGTGGAGGCTACTTGTATAGAAGCAGGACTAGTGAAAATGAATGTTTTCGTTGCCATAAATATGGCTGCAAAAAGCATGATTGCTATTGGTAAATTAGACAAATTTATAATAACGTTTTGTGTTTACAGCCACAGCAAAAGATAGCATTGTATGGTCAATCAGTGCAACATATGTAACTATAGCTGGTGACTGAAAACATGTGGATAACACTGCTGGAAAATGGTGCACAGTTCACATAGCCCAGAAAGTGACTGCTAACATGTTTATTTATACATTAACAGGCAGCTTTCTTTGTGTATGCACCAGACCTAAACTTGCAGAGTCATGAGACCTGTAAAAACCTTTTGAGATGCCTCCTTATAGGACCCCCACCACACACACCCCCTAATACACATTTCTGATGGTCCTACAGATTAAACAGTGCTGATCATTTAACAGTGAAATACATTCGACAAGATCAGAGACTGATACATATTTTGGAAATATAAATTGTCTCACAATCACAAAAAAAAAAAAAAAAATAAGCAAAGGCTGTGCACCACAAAGATTCACAAGAATACTCACAGGGACTGTTGACTCACCCCATTGATCCCAAACACAGCATTGATTTGAATATAAAAGTGCCCACTGGGAATTTTGACAACTTATAACAGTAGCCCACAACATCTTCATGTAACGTGACTAAAAGCATACCCAAAAGCATGACACTTGGCCTGCATAGCACATGCAAAAATCTCTTCCACACACATGCACATACACACTGCACCTCTGCCTCTGTCTTAATGAGTACAGAGCTGTGCCACAAATTCTACAGTGCTTTCTTTGTCATCCAGAATATAAATGCAGTATAAGGCATTTGTAGATGTGCGTGACATTTATATGTGAGCACACAGGCGTTCGTGTCTGTTTTTGATTTATATCCTGTAAGCATTTCAGGCCAGTGACTTTTGCACTTCACCAGTGATAATAGTGTTGAATAGTGTGTGGCACTTGCTGAAATAACTGAACAAGACAAGTAACTGAGCAAATCGTATTTAAAAGAAAGTGTTTTATGCATGTGGAGCGTTTATGGCTCGTGCTTTTTTAATAATCCTTTTTGATTCCAGTCAAATAAAGGCAAGTGCTCACCACAACTTCGCATCGCCCTGACAGAAATTATGGCCTTTACGTGAGTAATGTAGATCCACGACTAATAGCTTTATTCATTACGCCAGCCATTTAGGCCATGCATTCAAAAGCTGATTGTAGACTCTGTCCAGCCGTTTGAGCCATCTCCCTTCACAGTGCTCGCTGTGCGACCCCGTGGCGGCAGGCTGTCGGTCAGGCCGAAGAGGCGCGCCGCTGCACCCCGGTATTTCCACGACATGGTGTTATAGAGGATGGGATTGATGGCAGCGCTCAAGTAAAAGAGAACCACTGACACCAAGCTACAGTACTCGGATAACAACGACAGCAACGGGGAAGGAGCATCCAGAGAGCGGAACTGCAAGTAGCGACCCACATGGAAAGGCAACCAACACAGGACAAAGGCCAGCACAACAACCACTTTTGGAAGAAAAAAACATAAAAAGGGACAGGGGTTAGTCAAAGGAGGTGCTGATTAACATTTTCCTAAACATATATATCTTTATTTGGAAATTTGAACTGATATCACTTTAATATGAACACAGTTTAAAGCCCTAAGGTGTCTTTCATGTGTCGACAACTCAAACTCGAATCATGTAAGAACTTTAGAATTTTTGCATAATTTGCGCGTTCTGGAAACTTACCCAGCATCTTTATGGTCTGCCTGTTGCTCTTGTCCCTGTGAGACACGCGGTTGCTCATGTTCGTCTCACGGTGCCTTTGCCACAGCCGACGGCCTATCAGGCCGTAGAGCACTGTCAGACAGAACACGGGCATGAAGAAGAAAACGGAGCTCAGCCACACCATGGCCCCCATCAGACCGGATTGCACAGCATAGTGCGTCATCTTACACTCTCGGGTGTCCTCAGCCTCCAGGAATAAGTTAGACTCATTCATCCACGAACTGAAGTTTAGTGGCCCCATGGTGTCCTGCTCTACTCCCACCATGACAAACACAGGGCCTGCGCTCAAAAGGGACACTGTCCATAACAGACAAATCAAGGCTCGTACGCGCCTTTTGGTTACCAGAGCCTTGGCGCGCAATGGGAAACAGATCGCCAGGTAGCGCTCAACTGACAGGGCGGTGATGCTGAGGATGGTGGAGTAAGTGCTTGATTCAGACACAAACTGAAAGAGTTTGCAGAGCGCGTCTCCAAAGCGCCAGGGCCTGTATCTCCACATGCGGTAGAGGTCAAGTGGCATGCAAAGGAAAATGAGTAGATCTGATACCGCCATGCTGCACAGGTACAGATTGGTGGTCGTGCGCATGTCCCGGTACTTGCTGACCACCAAAATGGTCATAACATTCCCGGCCACCCCTATCAGAAACAGCAGTGTGCAGGCGACGGTGATGGCCGTTAGGAGAGGAATTGAATAATAATTGAGAGGGGGCGGGGAAGGGTCAGCTTTGCTTATGGTATTGTTGGTCTCCTCCCAGGTGCAGTTATGGTGGAGGCACTCCAGTTGGCTGGGCCAGGAGGGCATTGTTGCCTCTGGGTTATTCTCCCGGCCGCACCTGACCCTGACTGCTGATGTCACCCTGGATCTGGGACTCCTCATGCCCCTCGATGCCGCACTCACCTGCGTTATTCATTGTTTGATTTCCGGAGTTAAGAAAAACGTGTAACGGAGGAGATCAGGCGTGAACACAAGTAATATCCTTAGTGGTGCAAGCAATCCTGTGTAGCCTAACACTTCTTTACTTTGAAGATCAAATACGAAATCGACGGTGTTGAACAGACTATAACAGAAATATGAGGCCATCTCAGATCGATCCGAATTATCCACTCCATCTTCATAACGCACACTAAAGTGTTCCAAAAGTACCTGAAGAGTAGGAGTGATGGTTACAAAATGCATTACATCCGGATATTCGCAAGTTATAAATCGCCAGCCGAAATTTTTGGGGATGTGTACTCCAATAAAAACGGATATGACAGAAAATAAAAACAGACCTAGTATTTAAAAATCTAATATTTAAGCGCATCTTATCTTCTCCATCTTTAAAAAAAATATTTGTGAAACCCACCAGAAGCCTGAGGTCCTTCATGCGCTAAGAAGCTCCAAAGAGTCCCCATCAGCGGCAGCAAGTCCCCGCGTTTGCACAAAATAAAAAGCAAAATATTGGATCGGTTGACGAGTTGCATCTGGCAGCATGTGACGGTGAGTCAGACTCAGGGTCATAATGATGCGGCAGCAGCAAAAAAACATCTGTCCTGCAAATGACAGTGGCGCTCAAACTCAGCCAAACACAAACGGGCAAATAACAACTAGCGTGAAAACAATCACTGTCTGACAGAAGGGAGACAGTTTAATAAAACTCACAAACACCACGAAAGAACGATGCATTGTCAATAGAATAATAAATCTAAGAGTCCAAATGGTCAAAGAAGAAATATCAGTCAAGACCGATGAAAAAATCCACCTTAACACCAGACTTCTGTTCTGCTCCTGTAGTTATGGTGCATATCCAGTGTGTGGATCATGATTCCCGGTGCGCAAAACATCTTACCCAAGTGAAGTGGTTGTGGTGTGGAGGTCTGCTCTGAGTGTGATGCTGCAACACCACCTACCGGTACTGTTACAGTGATTGGTAGCGGTTTCAGCATTTTAAGCAATTATGCCTTTTGGTGTTTACCACCAGCCAATGAGAAAGAGTATTCCTCATTTGCATTTGGAGAATAATTCGACTCTCTCTGTTTTATGATGTGATGGACCGAGAAGACAAGGAAAGTCAGGCACAGGTTAAAGTCCATAAAACAAACTTGGTTAAATTATACAAAAAATAAAATAAATAAAAATAAAATAAATATTGGGCTCATAAAAGAGGTCAAAGTAACAGAACTCTACTCAAAAGCTGGCAACAAACACTGACCTACCTAAATGAGACAAAAGGGAAACTTAAATAGTGGCTGATCAGCCCACAAAGACACAAAAAGGGTTAGAACGCGCCAAAACCTAACTGAAACTAACATAATAAATTCCATTTCCCACCCATGATCCAGAGTTGTCGCGTGATCCAATTTTCAAGTCTCCACATAGGCTTGCTCCGCCCGTTTTCCACCTCTTAGCTCATCAACCAAGGGCCTGGAAGCAGCTGCTGTTGAGGTCTCAAATTGTCATGCGCCCTAGAAATATGGATTATAATGAATTACCCCTTTTGCACAAAGCAGAAAAAGACACTTTCTTTTCTGGTTGCCCATTACCTATTTAACTTTCACAATATATCATATGTTGCCCTAAGAACTGGCACGATAATTGGCCATTCTGCCTTAAATTAAAATACAAAAAAACAAAACAAAAACGCAGGTAACACTAACAGAATAATTGATAACGATCTTGTGCCTTTTCAGATTGCCATTAAAAATATACCCCCTGATATGTTCAGTGCTGTATAAACATTCTCTAGTTTGGACAACAATGTACATCATACCATTTCCCACAACAAAATAACACATATTTCTTCACTGAAATGTTCAGAATCCAAGAATACATGAATTTGAATAAACATGTGTTACTTTACAACAATCTCACCTACAAACCTACTTTGCAAAAACAATTTAAAGCTTATACTTAATTGCTACTTCTTAAATGGTTAAGAAAATAGATGGATAGATAAATAAATAATATTTTGCAGTTTACTATATTCAGTTAAATATAGGAAACAAGTAATTTGTAAACCATTGCATTCTGTCTTTATTTATTTATTTTGGGTTGTAGATCAATATACACTATGAATGGACTTCAAGTTGCCAAATCACATTTGTATAAGTTGTCTATTAGAACCAAAATGACCTCCAAACTTGTGGGGCTTGTCACAAAAAGCCCAACAACATAACTTCCCCTTCACCATGTGATAATTTCTGGGCACGTTCTGGCATCTCTGCTCTACTAACTAACAATGGAGTGTGTAAGTCAGCAGTATAAGAAATGCA